TTTTCCGTCATATGGAGACACCACCAAATAATAATGAAGACAAGATGTGTTTGTGAAACACTGATGTCCCTGTCTGGTAGCCTATGGCGAAGGTTGAAGTTTCTCAAATATATGTCAAACTCAAAGGTCAAGGTCAAAAGGTTCAATTGTTGGTATCAGAAAAAAGTCTTGTCACAAGGAATGCACATGTGAAATAAGTAATCCCTAGTACTTCCTCTTCAAAAGTTAATTGCCAAGGTTAATTTTTTAAGTGGTTCAAACTCTACGGTCAAGGTCAAACATATTTATACCTGTTGACAGTTCACAATGAATACACATGTTAAGCATGAAAGCCCTAGCACCTACTGATCAAAATTTAGGCCAAGTTTAAAGTTGGGTATTTTTCTTGTAAAAATGTGTATTCTAGGTCAAGTGATCAGAGGTAAAAATTAATGGTACCCAAATAAAAGGTCTTAATTGTCACAAGAAATAAACCTATAAAATGTGCAAGCCAATTGTATAGCCCATCCCACTTAAAACTTATGGGCAAGGTTATAATTTCTGCAGACAAATATACAGACATAATATAAACACAAGAAACAAAATATGTACATAATTAGTCAAATGGAAAAAAATATACTATTTAATTGGAATCACAAAATAGATTGTTATTTCAGGGATAGGGAGTGGGTAGGGAGATTGGAACCCCCCCCCCCCTGGAATTTCCTTTGTTATTTAAACAAGACTATATACTGAAGCAAATAAAAAATGATTTTGGACATCCTCCCCCTAACTAAGAAAACATTGGGTTTTTTTTTGTTTATTTGTTTTCAGTGTATGATTTTTTTCTCCTGCTTGTCAGGAAATTCTAGGCATGAATATTTTGACTGAGATGTGAACCCCCCTCCCTACTCCCGAAAAAAATTCTGGATCCGCACCAGTATTGGCTGTAACTGAATGTCACATCGACAAGGGGAGATAACTTCACAATATGAAATTCGTCTAGTGTGGCATGCGATGATCTTTGACCCTTTTTGAACTTTAACCTAATCGTTTGGGTTTATTTTACCCCCACTATACTTAAACTTGTACTTACCGACCTCCATAGGTCCTGTAAACTTCATGAAATATAAATCCAATTATAACACAAAATGAATTAATCCAATGCACACCATTCTGCAGCATGTTATAATGATATTCCATTCGGAAAACCTCCGTGCCGTCGATTCCGTCACCTTATCAGATGAAGTGGGAATCGGCCGAGGTGTACCGAATGGAGTTTAATCTAAAAATATGATAATGGGTGACGCAACATGATGTGATGTAGAATTTACATGTCAAGAACAAATTTTAAATTAATTCATAACAAACACTGTTTTAACAAAACTGTTCCATCTAGCCTATTCCCAAAAGTATGTACTGTGTGATTGTGGTGTCGAGAGGGGGGGATTAGTAAATTTAAAAAGGTCCTAATATGGGCAAAACATTTATCAAAATCTAATTTACATTTATATTAATAGAATTCAAACTGGTATATAATGAATTAAGCATGTAAAATAAATATAAGAGGTTCGGAGTTATAGGTCACAGGGATAATTTCATACCCAATTTTATGAATACATATGTAAATTACAGGCACGTAGCAACCGGGGGGGGGGGGGGGGCTTGGGGGGGGGGCTGCCCCCCTTTTTTTCCCAACATTACCTGTACTATAAGAAAATGTCCATTAAAAAGATGGTTGTCCCCTCCCCCCACTTTTAACCACAGTATATACATTGCAAGGAAATATGGGAAAAATTGGAAGTGAAAGTAATTTTGCCTTGAAAAAAAAGTGGCCACCACCCCCCCCCCACCCCCACCCCCCATTTCATTTTTTTTCCTTGTTAATTTTTTTAGGTTAGTAAAAAAAATTTTCTCAGGTTGCCCCCCCCCCCCCCACTTTCAAAAACGATGCTACGTGCCTGAATTATATAGAATTATTTTGACTTTTTCCTTGGTAAGCCGCCCGTAGGATTGTGTATTTAGAGGCAAACACCTTAGTGCGGGTATTACTGTCTCATGACAGCATCTAGTTTTAATGTGTAAACACGCTTTTTTAGCAAATCCTTTCCCAAGTAACTGAATCCTGCTTAAAGCAAACTTTCATAGATGCTCATCTTTGGATACACATTTACTAGAAAAAAAAGTAAATTAAAACTACATGAAGTATGTGTATTCTGTATTTAAACAAAAAATATCTAGTTAAATTATTACGTTTGTGATAACCTATATTACTCTAATACATATATCATTAGTATTGACAGTTACAACCAAGGGAAGTTTCTTTCATCTGAAATTTTACATTTGATCAATGTTAATCTGGATATTCCATTTTCGTAGAAGATTGCGAAATGGACGAATTACCGTGCGCAAGTTTTAAACATAGATGCCATTCTGTCCACTAAGCAGAGGTCCCTTGAGGTCATGATTAACTTAAACGCAAATATTGCCATGTACGTGTGTATTCATGTAGGCCCCTCGAACACTACTGAAGTTCCCTGTACCGATAGGATTGAGGCTTGACCTTCCATGTGTAATGCGCTCAGGAAAATAATGAAATAACTGACTGATTTTTTGAGTGTATGACTGTCTGCAGTTAAAATGCGATGGGTGCAAGGGAATGGTGTATTTATATCTTGATCATCACGTGGCATAGCTGCAGAACTGTAGCTCTCGGCTTAAGAAGATTCGGACAGACAAAGCAAAGGGATCTGTCAGAGGCCTGTGCAGTAGAGGAACGTTTGCGAGCGCTCGCCAAAATTATATACTATGGAGGTTAGTATAAGGAATTTTGGTTAGCGCTCGCGAACGTTCGCTCTGCTGAACAGGCCCCTGCTTTATATGTCCGAATTTTCTAAAGCAGAGAGCTACGTTTCTGCAGCTACACTTAGTATCTGTACAATAATCCTGGATATGCTGATGTCAACAAGTATCTATATGTTGGACAACTTCAGAATCACTGTCAGTAGAGAAAAGTGACAGTGTCCAGTTCATAAAAGTTTAAATTAAAGATTGGAATCTGTTACAATTGTTACAACAAACAATTTGTATAAGAGATATGGAAAGGTAGATGCATCGTTACCCTATTACAAAGGTCATGATAGAGACAAATTCAAGGTCACTTAAATCAAAGTTTACAGTTAGCATGTTCGCTATAAATGTATGTGTTCCCTTACTGGTACTCGCCAGTTCAACCAAATAGTGGGAGAAAGGGTTTACAATCATCAAGGTTAGTGACAAAGGCCTTCCACACTCAAAAAGAGACCAACGTATTTAAACTATTTCGCCTTAACTCTTATGATTAGAAGGTAAAGATACTAATCATTGATGAAAATACATGTAAGCCCTGACTGTCAGTTCAAGTTGTTGACCCTGACAAAGATTCACTAGCCCTGAAACAAGAGGCCCATGGGCCACATAGCTCACCTGAGAATATTTGACCATTCTGTTTTTTACCATATTTCCCCCTTGTAATACATATTGTGACCCCACCCTACCCCAATGATCATAATTTGAACAATTTAGAATCTACACTACCCCAGGGTGCTTCCAAATAAGTTTCAGCTTTTCTTGCCCTGTTGTTCATGAGAAGATTCTCAAAGATTTTTCCTATATATTCCTATATAAAACTTTGATTCCCCATTGTGACCCCGCCCTACCCCTGGGGGTCATGATTTGAACAATTTAGAATATACACTACCCCAGGGTGCATCTACATAAGTTTCAGCTTTTCTTGCCCAGTGGTTCATGAGAAGAAGATTTTCAAAGATTTTCCCTATATTTCTATGTAAAACATTGATTCCCCATTGTGGCCCCGCCCTACCCCCGGGGGTCATGATTTGAACAATTTTGAATCTACACTACCCCAGGATGCTTCCACATAAGTTTCAGCTTTTCTGGCCCAGTTATTCATGAGAAGAAGATTTTCAAAGATTTTTCCTATATATTCCTATATAAAACTTTGATTCCCAATTGTGGCCCCGCCCTACCCCCGGGGGTCATGATTTGAGCAATTTAGAATCTACACTACCCCAGGATGCTTCCACATAAGTTTCAGCTTTTCTTGCCCTGTGGTTCAAGAGAAGATTTTCAAAGATTTTTCCTATATATTTCTATGTAAAACTTTGATTCCCCATTGTGGCCCCGCCCTACCCCCGGGGGTCATTATTTGAACAATTTACAATCTACACTACTCCAGGATGCTTCCACATAAGTTTCAGCTTTTCTTGCGCTGTGGTTCATGAGAAGAAGATTTTCAAAGATTTTTCCTATATATTTCTATGTAAAACTTTGATACCCAATTGTGGCCCCGCCCTATCCCCCGGGGGTCATGATTTGAACAATTTAGAATCTACACTACCCCAGGGTGCTTCTACATAAGTTTCAGCTTTTCTTGCCCTGTTGTTCATGAGAAGATTTTCAAAGATTTTTCCTATATATTTCTATGTAAAACTTTGATTCCCCATTGTGGCCCCGCCCTACCCCCGGGGGGTCATGATTTGAACAATTTTGAATCTACACTACCCCAGGATGCTTCCACATAAGATTCAGCTTTATTGGCCCAGTGGTTCTTGAGAAGAAGATTTTTTAATGACCCAACCCTATTTTTGTCTTTTCTTGATTATCTCCCCTTGCGAGGGGATATGTCCCTTCATTTCAACAATTTAAATTTCCCTTTACCCAAGGATGCTTTGTACCAAGTTTGTTCAAAATTGGCCCAGTGGTTCTTGAGAAGAAGTCGAAAATGAGAAAAGTTTACAGACGGACGGACAGACAGACAGACGGACAGACGGACGGACGACGGAGAAAATGTGATCAGAAAAGCTCACTTGAGCTTTCGGCTCAGGTGATCTAAAATGACAGCATTCTAATATATAAATTTTTTTTTAACTTTTAAATGAAAAACCATATAAGAACAATTTTGATGGAATTTATTGCTCTCATGTCTGTCTGTAAATAAAAATAAAAGAATCATTCAAGAAATAAATAGAAATGCAGAAGAATTAATATCTAAGGAGGAGAAAAAAAGCAGGTAAGAGAAAAGAAAAGCAAAGAAAAAGGTGACTTGCATGAATATTTCAAAATCTGTGATTTGAGATGCCATTGTTAAGTTGTGATTGGGCAACCCTTATCAAGATGATAAGAATTTTAATTGTTTGGCATTCATATGTAAAAAAAAAAATTTCTGGACAACTAGGATTTTATGAATGGAATGGAGATAAAACTTAAAGTACTTGTACATTAATTTTTTCTATTGTTTTCTGTACTTTTTATCTCTGTATTTCCAAATTCCAGAGGAGGAGAGAGAAAAAGAAATTAGAAAAATAGAAAAAACAGACAAAGGTAAATTCTAATGTTAACGCTAAAACTCAGCAAGCTTTGAATCAAACAGTCACAAATTATGATGTTACATAAGTTATTATTTTAATGTGAAAGGTAGGTTCTAATGCAACTGTTTTGTGTCAAAGGTAAACCTCAGTTGGCAAGCATTGAATCAAACAGCACAAATAATGTTGTTCCCTAAAGAGTACACAGTTATTAGTTTGAATTGATAGGAATTTTTTGATTGAAATTATTCAGAATAAATATCTGTACATGCTGTAAATCACATTTTATCCCATGAAATTTTACTTTGCAAAAATTTTGCAAGGTCATTTCTTTCTCAAAGGTTATTTATTTACAGAAATTTCCGATCAAAATTATATTACACTGTAATTAGGGATGTTAATTTCTAATTGATTAATCATTTGGAATGATGGCAATCGGTTAGGAAATCTGTAATCTATTAGTCGAAAAAAAAAATTATGTAAAATAAAACACATTTCTAAAAAAAAAAAATACACAAAGGTCGTTAATTTAGTCTTAAGTTAAACATTTTTTTTAAAGCTGATTAAGAGTAAATTATGACGATCTGGATAAAGACGTTTGGGTAATTGTGTAGTCTTTATTATTGTTAAAACATTGTGTTGGTACCCAACTGTCCAGTACTTCTTTGATAATAATTGAATATTTCTGAGCAGGATTATCTGTATGTTTGTCATTTTCAGTTATCTATTTATTAAAATAAATTAAAGTACTAAACAGACATTGTAAATTACGGACTACAGTTGAGAATTAGTTTTGATTTGGTAACAGCATAAACAATGCAGAATGAACTTAAAATCTGCTCTTAATTTTATCAATTACTTCTTATACTTGTGTCATGGTTTTCTTTTTTTTTTTTCTTTCTTTTTTTTGTCCATTGAAATTGAATTAAAAATATAAACTTGTAGTTTGACTAGGATTAACAAAAATGAAATGTCAGAAGCAGAATTCTATTAAATACGTGTATGAGTGAAATTTATCACAATTCATGTATATTACATTCTATACTGAAACACTTTGACAATTCCCTTATATCCGACCCACAATGTAGACTTATAGAGTGATAAAGTGTATGGACTGTTCAATTCATTGTCTGTCTGTAAAAACTTCAGGAACTCCCCGTCAGGACCCAGTAGATGAATCTGTTTGATGTTAAATTCATTAACAAGGATGTTACAGAGGGAGTCACACACTACATCAGTTGGATTAAAGTCTTTTGTTAGGTTCAGTTCACGGAAGAAAGGGCTGTCTCCACGGTAGACAGATTTCATACGACCAGAGGAAGACATAATCACTAGTACACTTGTAGTCAGATGTGTAGTGTTTACAACACAGATATCACAGTTACTGTTCTGTGTGACTCTGCCTGGCACTGTAAACAGTCTGGTGTGACCGTCCTCCTGGTACTCATACTCATGGATGACATCACCTGTCACTGTGATCTGTCTAATCAGACGTCTGCAGTGTGACTCTAATTTGAAATCTGTTTTATCTACCAAGGTGACCAGTAGTCCACCGTCCACTGACTGACAGATTCCTCTTGGTATCAGTGGATCTGTACTGATGACTTCAGACACAGATCCTGGTGGTGACAGATGGCCGATGGATTTCTTCAAACGATCAGCAAAATAAACATCACCAGTATCAGTCACACACATATAATCAGCTTTGATATTATATTTATGTATTTTCTTGCCTTTCTTGTTTACTTGTTCAATCTTATCTGACCCTGATTGTTTTATGTAACACTGATCTTCACATAACGCACTCAATAAACGTATTTCTTTATTTCCATATTTAAATGAGTTTGTTTCAGTCAAACTGATATTGTTCAAATCTATAATTTTTCCAATCAAATTCTCCATCACCTCATTACAAATTTCTCCTTTACTGTATCTCGCTGAATGTTTACAGTCCTCTATATCAACGCTTAGGTCAAACAGCAGTTCTTCCAGTTCTCTGTGATTGTCAATGAAGCCATAATCAGACATGGTACTGTTGTTTTCCTCCATAAACTTTACCATCTCTTCTATTTCTTTCTTCTTCTTGTCTAGCTCAGATTTCTCACTATTCAGCTTTTTATTTTTTTCCTCCAAATTATCTATCAGTCTTTGTTCATTATTTTTCCTTATTTCTCTTAACCTGGCAATTATCTCATCAACATGCTTCTGAAGCTTTTCAATCTCAGTGTCACACAGTTCTTCATTTGCTGCGATCCGTTTTGACACCTTCTCCATCTCCTCATCAATTCTGGGAAGGTCCCGTTCCTTGATCTTCATCAAAAATCTAAGCAAGCCTCTCCTCCTTTTGGTAGCTGCAGTAGGTAGAGTGTTGCATTCGTGATCTTCATGCTCTGTCTTATCACATTTACCACAAATAAATTCATCACAAACCTCACATAACATATCGATAGGTAAATCATGGGATTCACACATTACAATATGCTCTTGAGAAGAGCCCAGTGGATATTTGGGTACACTGGCGGCCATGTTTGTTAGGAATCTCCTACCTATGACCTAGATTTGATGTACAGGTAATTTAAGATAGTTATACACTGTGAAGTGATTTGGACTTTAAACTGATACCATATTACATGATCTGCACAGTGAACAAACATGTGTAAATTAACAAGCCCCAATACAAAGAGGTAGCTTTAAACTAAGTGCATTCATGTGTCACTAAATTAAATTTTGAAAATATATCTAGCTATATATTGTGCATTAGTACTGAGGTATGCATTTTTTCTGGCAAAAGGGGATTTGATCCCCTTCTAAAATTCTTGGCAAATAGTGCCACCAACTGTGCGCTTTCCAGTAAGACCATTAGAAGAAAGGAAAGAAAAAAGTTTTCATGCTGCATGTCATTTTCAAAAACAAGAGGCCCATGGGCCAATCTGTTCACCTGAGTCAACATGACCCTGCTGCTGCTCTTCATCAGATTTTTTATCCTATGGTATATTCCTATGTATTATATTGCTAAGAAACAGGAGGCCTATGGGCCACGATGCTCACCCAGGTCAAGATGGCTCGTCTGTTCTCCATCAGCAGATTTTTCCTATGTTACCCTTCTTAATCATTGAGTCATTGGAGGGTAAGAAAGTAGCATTGGTAAAAGAAGACCATGTTGCTGATACACCCCTCCCACATAATGAGGCGGGTCAGAACAAGCCCAAGACAGGGAGATAACTCTTGAGACTACTTGACCTGCTACAGTTTATTTTCTTTACTATCAGTGTATATCTTCTAATTCTTATTGAGTGATGTACAATACGGAGGGGGGATCCTCTCCCTTCACAACTTCTTTGGAATTTTTTTTTTGACTTTGGTTTCATTTGCAAACTTATAATAGAATGTTTTGTTATTGTAGGTTGAAGCAAATGGAGAGACAAAAACTAAAGATACAATTAATACAGATTTACAAAGTGGCAATAAATTGAAACGGGATAAAAAGTAAGTGGAAATTTATCTAAGTGCATTCCTAGGTCTTGAAATATAGTCATAAACCTGTAATGTTTTACTTCTGAAGATTTAGAATTTTTATTTTTTGCAGTACATTGTATATTTATAGTTTAAATTCTTTTTCCTTTATTTTTAGACCTGCCAATTCATCTTCATCGGATGATGCAGTTAGTGTATGTGCAGACATGTCTAAGTTTATATGAATTTTAAATATACATGTATTAACAAAATAATGTATAGCAAAGTTTTGATTAAAAGAGCTAAGTTCACGAAGTGCAAAAATCCGCCTAGTCATCAAAGCAAGTGAAACTTCCTGTCATTATACTCGAAGATTTGTATGTTGTAAAAGATTTTATTTTTTACGAATATCTTTTCTGGTTTTCTTTTTACAGCAGTTTCAATTTAGCATTGTTTTCTTAATCAATACTGTCACGTCATTACGTTGACGTTATATTCTTCAACACCGTAACGTTGACGTTTTGTATGAAAATAACACATACACGTGGAATAAAAATCACCAATATAGGACATTCTTCAAAATTTGAAAATTTCAGGACGTTTCTATGAATTTTTTAAGAAGTTCTGAAAAAAGGATTGTTTTTTTTATATGTTATTCAGAGAAATGGGAACTATTTGTTATATATTTATAAAATAATGGTTGAGTCGAAAAACCGTGGATACATGTAGGCCTAACACCTTTAAAATGAAAATAAGGGACAGATTAAGTTGAACACCAACACAAAGTTTAAATCTATCATATCTGAGTAAAACTGAATTTTTTGTAGTAAAATATATACTATGGTAGCCATGGAGGAAACGGATTTTAATATCTTTAAAGGTGTTATTATATGGTCCTACGGCATACAAACTTAAAAAAATTGAGATTTTGACAGAATAGAAAAGTGTTCTTTAATAACGAAAACATCAAGCTAAAAATATGCTTAATTAAGAAATAAACAACAATGTTAAAAAGTTCTCTGGGAAATGAACTTTTAGTTGGTCACGTGATCAAATCCTGTGAAGCCCGAAGGGCTTCTCAGTAGATTTGATCACGTACCAACTAAAAGTTCATTTCCCAGTGAACTTTTTAACATTGTTGTTTATTACTTATATTTACATTTGAAACGAATACATTTCGAGTTTAGTTGTATTTATTACACGAACAGGCAAACGTATTGCTATGTAGTGACGCGCAATGACCTAGAAGTTGTTTGGTCAAAATATCACATCGCTCTGTGATCCGGTCGCGCTATGACCTCTGACCCCCAAATGAAATTCACACAGAATTGAACGTATTTTCTTTTCAATAGGTTCATCTAAGTAAGATATTTGCAAATGTAAATATTTAGAAATGAATTTGTTCGTAGTTAAATCATCATTTATTATACTGTCACTTAAGATTTCGCTGCACTTCCTGAATTTTTGGCATTTCCTGAACATTTAATATGTACACAGTTTTTACATGTAATACACGAAAAATAATGACAATATCGAAGGCTACATATGTATCTTACGCACACAGAGCAGTATATATATTTAGGGAAGAAACCACAATAGCAGGGATCACTCTGGATTTTAATGTTGATGGACCAATGGAAAATTGATTTTCCATGCTATTTTGGATTAATTTCAAGTATATTTTATGGGTCTTTGAGGGTTTTTAAATGCATTTCTGACACAACCAATTTGAGTTTTTTTTTTAAATAAAATGAATAATATTATAAATATAAAAGAAGTTGTTTTTCTTTTTAAATTTCATCTCAGTACTGAAAAATGTCATATTGGAGAATTGTTTTAGACTTCATACAACAGAGTATAAATTTAATTGATAAACAGAATACCTAAGTTAATTCCTCGCCCCTTTGATTTTATCAATTTAGTTCTCGAAAAGTTGTTGAAGAGCTAAACTATAAAGGATGCAAACTTACATGCATATTTCTCTACTGAATAGACCTGGGGCAGTTGCAGATTAAAGTTGGTTCAAATGGTAGGGACTGGTTTTGTATGCAAAGAACTCGGAGCAAAATACGCAAAATACTGAAATGAGAAAATTTTTATTTGTTTGCAAAACATTTTAGTCCCATCTGATCAAATTCCAACCACGGGTGCAAAGTTAGCCACTTGGACCAGTAGTTGGAAATGACGAACATCGTTGCCGTTGACATCAGGAGTCAACGTCTTGGACTGTTCTTCTTAATCAGAGACCTCTGCCGATTCTGGGAATGAAAAAGTTCCGTCGTTTTATTTGTAAAACAAACGAAAGCTTTCGTTGTTTTTGGTCAGTTGGCCCAATACCAATCTTCGCTTTGGAGGCATTTCGGGCAAGTGTCTGGATACACAATGAGTAATTTGTACTTCTTTTGTTTCGAAATAAATAATCAAAGTTTTAGAAAAAGTCAATATTACATATTAGAACATATTACATACTGGAGTATTACTTTTATATGTATATCATTTAAATCATTACATATAATTTTAATAAATATAATTGACTACGTATTCGGTAAAAAAAAATTCTAGTAGCGTAATCTAAACGAAGGAAATATTCCGTGTACAATTCCGATTTTAGTCTTGATCAACCAGACGCTCTGGTGGTGTAAAGAACATACGCGACTACAAAGAGTCTGATTGAACGAAGTAACAGTATGCTCAGATACGTCATGAATACAATCGGTCAGCTTGAAAATCCTAAAATGCACCAAGATAAGAGTTTCGACCCGCAGTTTTGCATGTTTAACGCCATATCTGTAAGACATGCGCCAGACTGACCCCTTTCTAATTTTTTAGTGCGCCATTT